CAACAACAACAACAACAACAACAACAACAGCAACAATTACAACAATTACAATTACAACAACAACAACAACAGCAACAATAATAATTATAATGGTCGTAGTAATATTCGTATCGGCGTTACAGTGGTCGATCCTACTAGAAAGCAATATTCTTCTGACGCTCGCAAGTACGACAACAACCGTCTCATGCCGTATGATAATCGTACCGCGCAAATGACAAACTTTCCAAAGCAAGCATACATTCCACAGGCATCAAACTTTGGACGGGGAAGAAACAGTTGGGGAAATAATTGGGTTTAGAAACATTAACACGTCATTAAGTAGTAGTTATATATATAATAATTGAAGTTGGACTTTTTCTTTGGTCTTTGAAAATGTGTGTCGGATAGAAGAAAATGGGGTAGAAAACAGCAGACAGGGATGGAATGTATATTTGGAGCAGTTTTCTTTTGGACTTTTAATGACTTGCAAAATTTTGCATATATTGATATGTGCAAAATAACTCGGGCTTTATTACGTGTATAGATAACTTTATTATATACACAATAAAGTCGAGGTTACTATCACTAATGCTCTTAAAACAAAATCAGTATTGCTCATAAAAATGCTAATCATCGTTGTCGTCAATTATTCTTGCCGAATGTATTTATTGGCAGCTGTTGATGGTTCAATTGTCTTTTATTAAATGGAAAGGATGGCATCACAACGTACATATACAGAAATACAAGTGGCTAACAAAAAAATCCTGAATAATATTTTTAGCAACCTTGCAAGAATTTACTGCTGAATCTATCGATTTTAATGGACAGTTTGTTTAGTTTACACGCGAAATCGAAAAGAGGTAAATATACTGTAAATGTTTTTCAAGCCATTGTTCTCATTCCACAATGCTAACTTTAAATGTAATGCGTGGTGTTACGTAAGGGTCCGGGTGACAGTCATTTCAAGTGACGTAAATAAATGCCTATTCAGCCCTATTTTTCATAAAGTTAACCATACAACCACCCGCAATTTTCGAGCAAAAGACTATTTTGCCTATTGATGTAATATCCTCTCCTTTTCCCCTCTCCCCACCCCCCGATGTTTCATATTAATGAAACAAATATGTTTCACAATCATAAATGAGTCGTGCCGCTGCTATCGGTGGACAGATGGGATGTTATGAGCTGAAAGGGTGACCCGGATATGCGGAATGAAAAATGGTATACGAGTCAAGTAGCTCTTTGATGCAGCTTAACCAAATACTTCTGCAACTCTAGACATGTAAACAAAAAATATATCTCCAACCCGCGAACCATGTAGAAATTTTGGGAAAATTATATTTAATCACGCACCAGTCTATTTATATGCATTACGACTCTATGTCACCTCTGACTTGTAAATTACCATCATCTGATGCAAATGCAAACCACTCCCCTTCCCACCCTAAAATCAAATTTCATTTTGCATGTTTATATCATCCGGTGCTCTTTTGTTAATTATCCCTTTTGACATTATCATCTGCAGAGATCCAAGGACTTTTGATAGTTCTGTCTGAATCTTTACTTCTTGTTGCACTTTTGTCCGTAATTTGGATATTAACTTTTCGATTATCGGCGACTGGCTCAAAACCGAGGCGTACATGTCTGGAAAGAAAAAGTTTCGAATTTAGTGATGAAAATGTCTATAACCCTCCCTCGACTTCTTACAACGACCGGTTATTATAAATGCATATTTACCCAGAGTCGTCTCTCCAACGTCAACCAAGAGGCTAGCATATCGCATATTGTTAATGTTTTTTAACAAGAAATTTAATATAGGTTCTAATGAGACATCGTCTCTTCCTTTGAGTGCTTGTCTCAGACCTCCACGATGTATCAATTCGTATAAGAGTGAAACAGTCACTATCGCACGGGTACCCTATAGGCGAAGAAAGATGGGTTTAAATACATCAACGGGGTAATAACCGCAACGTAACAATCGGTCTTAATACTTGCAGGTCTTAATGCAGCATCCAATGCATTTCCATATTGAAACTTTCTCAAATACCGATCATACAAGGCAATGTGTTTGTTACGCCGTGATTCGATTATGTAATCCTCCTGGACAGATAAAAACAAAAAATTGAATAAACACACGATTAGCACGCTCGAAATGTAAAAACTTGTATGCATGTCATCCTGATCCTGGTAAACCCCAATTTTTATAATTATAGACTGACCTCTTCACCCCGGTATTGAGCTCCTCTGACATAATACTTGTATGTCCCTCCTCTAATTTTC